ATTCTTTTCAATTAATATTTTAATAATTTACAAGTATAGTCATTATTGCGAAGCCTGACACACAGATACTCAACCAAACAATATAATTAATGATCAAATAATAAGTAATTTGGTATTTAATATTTAATTACCATCAAATTACTTAGTATTTAATCATTAATTATAGTGGATTTATAGCAATTGTTTAGGTGATCATTTAAATTAAATGATTAATTCAACCAAACAAAAATAAAATAGCATAGTCTTAACAACTTTTGCTGAGATAGTTGACTGGGATCAAAAAAAAAAAAAATGGATATTACTAGTGGAGAAAAGCAGAGGTTAGTCTTCCACTGTTGGAAAGCAGGTTTCTATAGACACTTGAAAAATATTACTAACAAAAAAGTTGCCATATAGAAAAATTTAACATTATTCGGTTGTTTGAAAAATACAGCAATGAATTGCATAAATTTTCCAACTATTATGAGATCTTATTTAGAAAATAACTTTTATAATTTTATTACAATATAACTTAATAAAATTGTGTGTGGCACCATCTGTTATGAGATTTTGTCATAAAAAACTTTTAAAATTTTTAATTACTATAAAATGGTAAAAAGTTTCATTTAGAAGATAGGAGGTGAGTTTTATAAAAAGTATAAATGTTAATAATGAGTAAAATCATCATTAAGTCTGGACCCTACTGGAGATACACACAACCCCTTTATCTCCGCCTCCTCGACCTTTAATTAATTAACCACCAAAATTCAATAGCACCAATGCTACTCATATACACAATGCCAAATTTTGTTAATCTTTACCCCATCCTGAGATATTAAGTGAAATACATGCCAACATACAAACATATCCATGAACATTTTTCCCTTTTTGGATTCAGGTCTCAAAATGTGGGGATTTTCAAAAAAACTCTGAGGGTCAAATTTGATGATTCCAATACTTTCCCTTGTTATGTATACATAACAGCTAGGAAAGTAAAAATGATAAAAAGAGAAGAGAAGAGAAAGCAAGAACAAAAGCAGGTTTATGAAATCTCTATTAAAAATATAAATAAAAATTTTTAAAAATCTAATGGCATCTAAAGCATAGAAGTAGAAGAAAAAGAAAGACTCATTCTTTGATATTGCAACTACCTCCAGTTTATGTTCTCCATTTTTTTTTTATAATGTAATTTTTTAAACTACATATATGTAGAAAAAATACTGCATTACTATCACAATAAATTTGTTTATCGTAACTCTAGTATCATAATTTTGGGACAATTTAAAAAGAAAAACTCCATATGTACTGTACATACATGACATTGTAAATCATTACAATGATAGATAGTTATATAATCCAAATGAACAGATTTGGGAGAAATTAAATAAATGTCCAAACAGCATAATTGGTAATCTGAATAGTAAGCAGATACTCCAGATTTAAATTCCATTCTGGGTCAATATTCTCTTTCAGAATATTAAATATTAAAGTTAATTCAAAAGTGATTAAATAGTTTAGCCTAATTATATCCAGGAAGAAATTCACTTTTTAAATATTAGATTTAAAAAAAATCTATGTCTGAGAAATTCTTCAAGTTTACCTCCCTTTCATATAGCAGTAATTATTACATTGAAAATAAATAAGAACATTAGCCTCAAAAATTAGTTTCATTCAACAAAGGAATTATTCCATTACCACAATAAACTGAGAATATGTTGAAAAATTATAGTATTGATACTAGATGAATTAAACATTTGAAGCTCAGCAAGCAATGTTTGAGATGATCTATCATTTTTAGTTTCGAACAAATGGAGATTAAAACTTACTGATATTACTTCATATCAACAAAATGACTCTGTATAACCTCAGAAATCATTAATTGCATTTTTATAAATGATTAAACTTGATTATATTATTTTAAACTTAAAACCAAAAATTTTGTTTCCCAGAGAAGCATTACAAGCAACAAAAGACAAGAAATACTAATAAAAAAAATTGTCATATTCTTTGAAAAATAGAATACACCATCACATCTAACAAGTTTTAAACATCCATTATAAAAATGAACTGAAATTCTCCATTTACTTTTCTATTCTAAAATTTATTAATTAATAAGATAAGATACCGACAGAATAATTATATAAAACTAATTTCAAAAAGACCAACTATTTTCCAAATACTGCACATAATTATTAAATTACAGTTCCAATAGATAAATTATAAAAAAAAAATAAAACTTCTAAAATCTAATCTGTCTGCAGAAAGAATCAACTTTAGAGCAATGTCATGTATGATGTCACATAAAACTAATCAGCACAGTCTCTAATGATGTCAGTACTATTTGCTTAATATGTCAAGCAATATGTAAATTTTATTTCATTTTCTCTCATTAGATAACAGAAAATTTTTCCATTAATTGTGTTAATATTTTACAGCATGTATTTAACAACTATAGCAAACTTCCTCGTATTCAAAATACCAGAATATGAAGCTTCCATAACACTGTTCATAATAGTGATGACATGTTTAACAAATGAGGAAGAAACTGGAAGTAACTTGCCACAAATATGTGATCAATGGCTGATGCTCACCCAAGCTGATTCTTTCAACAGACTATAATAGTCTTTTCTTTTTGCCCTAGGGCAGAGACAACTCAGGTTGTCTCATGCCCAAAGTGACACATCAGGAAAAATAATCTGACATACACTTTTGGTTTATCACTTGTATTTTTTCAATCATCATTTCACAGTTTATCATCTGATAATTCTTTTTTCAATCAGTTCCTTTATATTTATTTTAATTAAAGCATATTTGTTTCATTTCATTAAATACAGTTATTTAAAATCTAAAATGCTTTGGCACAAAAACATTTTTAAAGATAATTGTGCTCACTATATGGCACATGAACTCAAAAGATACATCATAACCCAAGGGAAATTAAGAGAGCATTTTTTCATTGTTCATCATAGACATTGTAGGACATCTCTGATATATCTTGATCATAACATTTCTGAAATTTTTTGTGCTTCCAAACTCAAATTCAAATAGAATTTCTAGAATTCCAGAATGATATTTTTAACCATCACAGCCATCAAGTATAGCTAAAATATGGTAAAGATTAGAATCTAATCATTCTAAAAGATGAAGTATAATAATTAGACTAGATATAGAACATCATTGACTAATGATTGTAAAAAAGTATTTCCATATTTCCTAGAAATGCCCATTGAAAACTAATCAAAATAATCATGTATACATTAACTATTATTCAATTTTTCAGTAGGTGAATATAGTTTTTTAAATTATAAAGCAGCAGAAAATTTGGAATAAATATTGCCAATATAAATTTGGATTTATGTATAAATTATATTTTTACAGTTTATTTGTGCAAGCTACTAGATGCAGAGATTTGTATTATTCATTATTATTTTTAAATAGTACAAACAACAGAAATATAATATACCAAAAATCTATTTTTTAGTTAAAAACTTTATTTCAAAACATTTTTTAATAAACAAATATAACTTTTGATAATATTTACAAATGTTTAATGCTTAATGGCAAGGCTAATCAATTTAAATATTTAATAATTCTTACAGAAAGTATTAAATTCAATTACTGTGTAAATATAAATTTAATTCATTACAGAAAAATATCATTCATACAACTAAGGTTAGGAGATCTAGGCACTAAAAATCATGTAAGTTAAATGACTTTTTGTGTTTAGATGTCCTAATCTTAATCACAATTAACAGAATTATAAATTTTCATCCACTTTACTAAACTTGTTTTTTTCAAATATCGATCTTACTATTGTTGTTTTAAGAAAAAAAATTTCATTCAAAAATAAAAAAATTTAAAACTTTTATTTTTTATACTTCAATAAATAATATTAAATATTACATCAAATATTTAATTTTAGGATAATCAGTACAGTATGAGGTATAAACAACAAGAGGAAAAATGTTGACTGTATACATAGTTTTTCTCTTCTTTAATTGGTACATAAGGAAGATAAACCAGGTAAAATTATCCAGTGGTTAAGATAATTTTTAAAATATTAATTATTTTTAAATTTAAACAATTTTTATTATTTAAAAAAAATGTCTAATTTGAAAATCTAAATTTACATTTCCACACAAATAATCAATAGGCTCAAATTCTATAGCAAAGTACCGAAGACAACTTGCCCACCAGTGGCCAAGCGGTTCTGTTCTCCAAACACCGGGAGTTGGGTCTTGGGCTTGCGCCTGTCCAGAACAGCTGGCCACGTGGAGTTTTTCAGGTTTTCTCCACATCTGTAATGCCCAAATAGGGGCCAGTTACCTTTAAAAAGACCCCTAGGCAGATCAAATGTTGCATTGCTGTAACTTAAACTGATGATAACTTTTGAAAATCTCAAAAAAAAAAAAAAAAAAATGTTAACTTTCTGCACATTTTAACACAAATAATCCAAACACACACTCACCCAACTAATTTGAACAGATTAGAACATATCCATCTGCACATAAACACCAGAAACATTTATAAAATCATACTTAAATACATCACAGATATATGATCACACTACAAAACAAAATTGAAATAATTGAATCATATTTCATGTATTATATCAATAATAAATCATATGATTAAGTATTTTTATCTGCTTTTTACATTGTATGAAAATTGAATTTAGATGGTAATTAATTCTTAATGTGCTGTGGTTATGTGTAAATATGTAAAAACCATTACTAAGATTTCTATGAAATGTTGTGTTGTAATAAAAGTAAATGGTCCATGAAAATAATTTGTATATTGTAAATGAATCAAAATACCCGTAAACGTCAGTATTATAACAAGAGTAAGATTAATTAAGCTTATTTATATTGCTTTTTCGATAAATATACAACTTACACACTAAAATACGGAAATACACTTACTTACTTACTAGGCCTAACTACAAACTTTAAGTAAAATATGATCAAAATTTATAGATTAATTAACAATAAATTATTTCTGACACTACAATGCGTTCTTACTTGTTTTACCGTATCCGTATCATTGACTTCTACTGTATGTTTATCTTTCGCCGTTTTAATAACGAGCTTCATTTTCTTCTTCTGCTCACTGTCCGCCATGACGAAGCGTTCGCGTTCGTGTTAGATTACATCATAACATTTCTACCGGGCGAACTCTAGCGGTTGTTTTGTTACTATGCGAAAATTATTTTAATATATTTTTATGATTTAATCCGTAAATTTTAATAATATTATTATTATTTATAATGTATTATTGACGAAAAATTATAAATAAATTTAGGTTTATATGAACTCGATTGTTGAATATTTAATTGAGCTTCCTATACAAGACCGATGCGGACGAGCAGTTAAAATAAGGCGATATTGAAGATTAAACCAATCAAGTATTCTAAATATCAGGATTAAAGGAGACGATTGGTAGGACTAGTTGTTGACGTTTAATGTCGTATCCACCTTTACTGTAGTTTTACTTCAAAATGTCGGAAGAGTCGCTATATAGTGCGTTCGACGGTCAAGGCGGCAGCCTGCCGCGCTGGGGGACCCGTGTTCGCATCCGGACGGGTCGAGAAATACCCAGGAATTTTTCGGGGGTGGTCCGTCCAAATATGTTGGGCCCCGTCCCCTGGCTACTATTGTGGGCCTGTAATGCGTTTGCGAAAAAGAGGCCCTCTTAGTGCTCATAGGGAGTTAAAAAAAAAAAAAAAACATAGTACGTTCATGTAAAAAGTAAGCATCGATGATCTAAAATTCAAATCACCGATAATATAGGAATTAATAGTTTAATTTAAAAGTTTTTGTAATTAAAAATTTAAAAATTAATATTAATACATACTACATTAGCTTTCGCTCCACTAACTCGAGCGATAACACACGTTTGAATGTGTATGTAAGAGCAAGCTTGTATGTGCGAGAGTGAGAGAGAAAGAGTGGGCCTGTATGTTTGATAAAAAGAAAACGGTTGATGACCATACGTGAAGGCATTCCTTACATTTACTTGGAGTCGATTGCTTTATTCTTGCATTTTATTTGTTTTGGCGCCCGTTTTCCATTAGACGCACGCAATGCTCCCCCCATAAATTTCATTAGGCGGGCTCAATCACATTAGGGAGCATGGACATTGTAACTTTAACTCTACTGTATCCTCAAAACAAAGTCATAAACTCCAATTTTCTATTGCATTTTTGATTTCCTCATCGCTATGAATGGAGAATAATAAAGTTTAGTAGGAATCCATGGATTAATTTTGAGAACAAACGCAATTCTGAAAGTCACATAGAGGCTTTCGCTAACGCACTTTCTAAAATTTTTTTTTTTAAATTTAGAATTATTAATACAAAATAAGATTAAAAAGTTATTATATTATTGGCTATTTGAGGAATGTGTCCCTTGAAGTTTAATATATTTTTAAGGGATTACTTTCCTTTTTTCCCTCTCATTTTTGGCTCTTTTTTCCCTGTGACCATTAAGTAGGTCTTTTTATCTAGCTCATCGTGAGTTCGGCTAGGCCCATAACAGGAGCGACTAGGTGTGAGAAACGGTGTCCGATATATTCGGGACAAACCAACCCCACAAAATTCCTGAGATTTGTCACCGATTCGGATTAGTTTCCCGATTCCTCAGAGCGGTAAGCTGAAGCCTTAACTGTTCGGCCATCCGACCATCAATATATCGATAATTTCGAACTATCGTTGGTTGCGATCGATATTTAATCGATAAGAATGATATTTTAACTACAAAATTTGATAGTAAGTACAAAAATTATTTATAAGTCAGTAATTTAGAGTAATATTAAATGTTGAAGTTTATGTGTGTAGAGATCATTTAGCATTACCATCCATTGTGCCATGGTTTAGACCAGTGATGGCAAATCTGTGACTCGCACGACGATTTTCAATGTGATTTCATTGAATGTTTAGAAACTATTAGGTTTCAATAAATTATAAAAAAATATATTTGGTAGATCTCAAAACTTTGTGTGGTGTCCTAAAACTTCTGTGAAAAATTTTGAAGGACAGATTATCATCAAATAAAGAACAGATTGCCCATTAAAGGAAATATTTGTTTCCTTTATAATCACATTATTTATTATTTTTCACTTATAAAGAAATTATTGTTATTTTTCCGATATAGATTAACAAATTGAATAAAGTAAAATTTGTAAGCATTTTCTGTTATTTTTTNCACTTTCTAAAATTTTTTTTTTTAAATTTAGAATTATTAATACAAAATAAGATTAAAAAGTTATTATATTATTGGCTATTTGAGGAATGTGTCCCTTGAAGTTTAATATATTTTTAAGGGATTACTTTCCTTTTTTCCCTCTCATTTTTGGCTCTTTTTTCCCTGTGACCATTAAGTAGGTCTTTTTATCTAGCTCATCGTGAGTTCGGCTAGGCCCATAACAGGAGCGACTAGGTGTGAGAAACGGTGTCCGATATATTCGGGACAAACCAACCCCACAAAATTCCTGAGATTTGTCACCGATTCGGATTAGTTTCCCGATTCCTCAGAGCGGTAAGCTGAAGCCTTAACTGTTCGGCCATCCGACCATCAATATATCGATAATTTCGAACTATCGTTGGTTGCGATCGATAATTAATCGATAAGAATGATATTTTAACTACAAAATTTGATAGTAAGTACAAAAATTATTTATAAGTCAGTAATTTAGAGTAATATTAAATGTTGAAGTTTATGTGTGTAGAGATCATTTAGCATTACCATCCATTGTGCCATGGTTTAGACCAGTGATGGCAAATCTGTGACTCGCACGACGATTTTCAATGTGATTTCATTGAATGTTTAGAAACTATTAGGTTTCAATAAATTATAAAAAAATATATTTGGTAGATCTCAAAACTTTGTGTGGTGTCCTAAAACTTCTGTGAAAAATTTTGAAGGACAGATTATCATCAAATAAAGAACAGATTGCCCATTAAAGGAAATATTTGTTTCCTTTATAATCACATTATTTATTATTTTTCACTTATAAAGAAATTATTGTTATTTTTCCGATATAGATTAACAAATTGAATAAAGTAAAATTTGTAAGCATTTTCTGTTATTTTTTAAATACCCACAATTAAGAGATATTAAATTGCGAATTCAGTTTTAATCCATCTTAAAAAAAAGTTTGTTATCGCTGGAACTATTGTGCCGAAACTGACTGAAAGTTACGGACAAGAACCAATATATTCTGTATTCCATTCAACCGAAATAATTGCAGTTTCTTCAATCGAGTACAGCAACTATTTCATCCTTCAGCTCAGAGACAACTTCACATTAAAGCCTACATCAATAGATTAATGCCGAAAGTATGTCCATTTTACATAATTTCTTAAATTTTAAATTTTAACCAAGATTTTTTCTTACACTTCTTATAATTAGTATGGTTGAAAGATGAGGAACGACGTCTACACCTATATATGATAAATTCTGGAGCATGGATCGAATTCAAAACCTAGATCATCACAATTTAAGATAAATAAGAATACATTGCTGTGTAGACGACTGGTTTTGCTGCTTTGAATAGATGTTTAAACGTGTAAATTAAAATTAAATAATGGGAAATTAATTTTATGCTAATATAGATGACCTTTTGTACTTCATTTTCGAATTATTCGTGAAAATTTATTTGAATTAAATTATAGACAGTCCCCTCTCTAATATCTGTACCACTGTAAATGAAGAGTATAACTCAGATACTGTATATATAACTACGTTTATCATACTTAAATCTTTTACCTGTACTTATTTTATTAATTAATTTATAAAGGTAAGGGGATTCGGGCCCTTTAGGCTTTTTGGCAAGGCTACTGATTACACATTGTAGAATCTCCAAGCGGTTCTAATTATAAAGTTTAATCTCAGATCAAACAAAAAACTACTAATAATTTTTAAATTATAGAAATATTCAAAATTAGTAAAAATAATTATTAACTAAAAATCAACAATATTTAATTAATTTTCCATTTTAAGGTACAAACATGCCGTTGTATTCTCAAAATCACAAAAATTTAACTTCCTCATTTCGAATTATCTGTACAAAATATAGGAAATGAGAAAATATAACCTAAATTTTAATTATTTTTATAAATTAAAAACATTTAATTTAATTATACATTATTGAAGGAAAGAATAACAGGTTTATTTTGAAAAATTTGTTATAAATAATGAAGGTTTTTTTTTTTTATTTAACACAAATTAAAACACGAAAAACATTATCTTGTCTTGAATTTTATTTAACAAACATTAATTTATGGGAAACTATACTTAATTTATGATAAATAATTTATAAATACAAGATTTATTTATCGCGCACACAATTTTTAACGTACTTAGTTAACTAAATTTACTGTTATACTTTATATATATATATATATATATCATTGGTAAGATTAAACAGGAGAAATACCCGCAATTTTTTATTTCTTTTTTGAACCCTTAACTGGTTTCGTAAATTTTACAATCATAACTGGTATCATGGGGGCTGCGCAGCCCCCAAGCAAAATTTGCCTTTAGAGAGCAAGTTTAACAATGTGACAGTTCAAAAGTTCATAAATGCTAAATGGAACCCTTCTTCAGTATAATCAACTTTTATTTATTTATATAATTTTCTTCATTTAATTATTACAAGAGATCACAAAATTGTTACAACTTTTGGTGTATGCTTTTTTTAACAATACAAAAATCTACCCTATTGTAAGTTTTTACCAAAGATATTTTGTTTTCTTATTCTTAAGAAACTAATCTTATAAAAAAGTATCTCTTATAGCCTCTAACTATCATTTGTTAAAAAACCACAGATAATATAATCACTTCTATTTTTAACACTCAGGATCATTTTAACGCAATTACGTAGTTCAGTNGAATTAAAGATAAATCGTTCAGCATTATTTATAAGTATACTCATTTGCATAAATAAGAAAAAATGATTTATTAATTATAAAAATTAAAATTTTTAAAATTATTTTAATGTTTTATGTTTTAGAAATAGTTTTATGGAAAATTTTTATTTAAATAAATGTACTAAAATAATTATTTTATTATAAATATTTTAATATGGAAATTTATAGAAATGTATTCTTATTTAATTTTAAAAAATTTTCATACTTTAAATACAAATTTAAAACTCTGATGTGGCTTAAAATATTCTTT